TCTAAGAACCAACTGCATAAATCGGTATGGCCTTACACTACATGGTACATGTAGGTTATACTTGATGGAACATGTAATGTTACCTTCTATACAGCTGAATAAACTGACGGACTGATCATGAACAAGAGCAAATTGTCCTGCTTAAAGATTCAACAGTACATTTTGTACTCTAATACCCAAAGTACAGATTGAACTCCCAACCTTTAAATTGGGATACACATGCACTATCCACAACCTTAAGGCTAAAACTGTTCTTGCAAAATATGTCGTACTTCTTGCAACTCAACTGAACGTGTGCTTATTGAGTTACAGCAAGAGTTCAAGGATCAGATACAAGTGAACAAACTACAGAAATGTAAGCCCTCTGAACTCTATATAAAGAAGGATGACATGTGGAAATAGAGCTACCAAATGACAGAAAGGGAAAAGTTAAACTCCACTTAATGATTCGCCACTGATCTTTATCAAAAATTCTTGAACTTGCAAGAGTTGAAATTGCCCCTGAATGTCAGGCTGATAGCTGGTGCCGTGAGTCTGTCTGTGTGGGTAAGAGTTGATAGATGACTTTTACAGAGGCTGTTGATGAATTGGCATTACCTCCTCATCAGCGAATGCCTGGCAGCATGTGTGGATATTGTCGACAATCCTTCTGGCCCTGATGAAAACATTTGTCACAAACATCCCTCAAGTAGTAACTACCGAGCGATTAATTAACTACATGTACCACTAATTTGTTTCATTTTTGCTCTGGGCTCTTAGAATCTGGACCGAAGAACATCTTATTTCTGAGTTTTGTTAGCTTTTCTTGATCGATCAGGAAAATCCATTAAGTATTATACAAAATATGATTCTTTCATGTGGGTAGGCCTAAGCAACAGGTGGTTGGTGTGTAAAGATATGAAAAGAGATGTCATTAAACTAAGCTTAGTCTACCTTAGAATTTGTCAGGCAGTTAGCATTTCAGAGGGTCAAGATTTCAAAACTTTCTCAGGGAAGCATGTCCCTAGACACCACTAGCCTAGGATGCAATGCCTTGGGCCTTCTGCACTTATGTTACATCAAACAAAATTGAGATGACAAAAAATTTCAGGCTGGCTAGAACACTCCTCCTGTACATGTACATGATTATGTATGAATTTATTTCTACGCAATACTATAGTCCATTTTTATTATATCATATTTTAGTTTATGTTCCTTAAAGTTTGCAAAAGGTGCAATACACAACCAAGATCCCAATACTTTAAAAGATAATTTGTTAGTAGTTCTCAGCCTTGGCAGTTTTCAATGCAAATTTCAAATTTTTCAAACTTGAAAACCACCAAGGCCTGTGGTTTCTTGTATATCAACTTGTATGAGGTGGCATCATGGGGAATCCCATTACACAGCAAAACAAAAATATGATGCAGTGCTCTTGCTTTCAAGGCAATAAAGGGAGCATTAAAGTTATAGGCACCATTAAGATAGTGCTCCAGTGACAGGAACGCTGGCAAGGGAGGCCATAAAAAAGCTCCAGTGACTGGATCATACTACATTTATGTCATGGCCTCAACAACAAAACTTGAGCTAATGTCAGTTGATGCCGGCTCAAAAATAACATAGTTTTTATTAGCATTTATGAAACAAATTAATCCCAGTATATCTTCTAATGACCATGACCGTAATGAAAGAGTTCACTGGCTCATTTGCACAAATCTGTAACTCCGCTGAGACATACAGGTTTACTCAGGTACAATGTACTGTCATGACATCTCAATTATTTACTTAGTCTATTATTATAATACTATTCCATGAGTTTCTGTATCAAACATAATGTCCACAGAGATTGACACAGGTACAATGTACAATTTGCACACAGTGCACTTTTGGCATATTGCTTTTGAAAATTTTGAAACATGTTTATTCATGAAATACTTGAATCAGCATACTGCCCTCTTTTTATTGGGGTTATGACATTTTTAATGAGATTGTTATATTAACATTTGTATGGCAGAACAAAATGCTGAGACATTATGCCTACGTTCCCATGGCAGAACAAAAACGCTGAGACCCTTCCTACCATAAGGGAATAGTACAATGTATACCATGATCCTGATATAGGAAGGAATAGATGGCAGTCAGCCCAGAGAATTAGTGGTGAAGGGAAACAAGATCATTTCTGGCCGCTCGGATTCTTCCAGCTGCTTCGCTATCTTGAAAGATCCCCCACCCAGTGCGTACACGTACATCAGATACCCGTGTGTGCTTGGCTAAAATCCACGCACGTCCGTGGCATTCACTAGCCACGAAACGTAGCGTTTGCGACTTGGCACACGGAGACAAAGATGGCAGACGATAAAAATAAATGGTAACACTTGTGCATTCTTCTTACTTACATCCGACTAATCCTACTGCGCAGTCAATACACAACTGAGAATATGGAACAATTGACCGTAAGTCACAGAGCACAGGGCCACTCCCTGCACTACTGCCCAGGATTGGGACAACAGTCGGACCATCATCTAACCAGACTAAAGGATGCCAACATTGTGAACTTATAACACATAATGTGTGGGCATTGCAGGAGTACAACTGCAGTCCATCAGTATCTAATTCTGTCCATTTACTGCTGGAGCAATGGTCACTACCTCATTACTACAACCCAGAAATGTTACATGCAAGATCAAGTTACTCAGTAACTTTCAGCCAAACTACATGTAAGTAGTATTGGTTTTGAAACATCCGCTTTGAACTTGAGGATATGATTACAAAACTTTATCAGAGCCTTGAGGTCGAGACAATTGAAAATATTGGAGGATACTGTTGTAATGTGCCAAAAAGATCCGTCAAAAAGCATTTCCTGAATCAGATGTAATAATGACTACAGTGTAACGTACAAAATTGTATTTTCCACAACCTCTAATGCCTGCAATCATTGGAGTGTGTTAAAACTTGCATGACTGTATAACACCGTGCTTCTAAAGTTTGAAAGTTGCCTGGCATCAGCAAAATGCCTGGCAAATGACCATCAGATGATGTAGTCACATAGACCAGGAATGTTCCAATGTGCGGGCTGTCAGAAAGATAACGGTTGTATTGCAGTGCTAACAGGTGATCCAAAACATGTACAAGGCAGCTTCTTTTATTGCTAGGGCATGTGCTGGAGACAAAAAAACGTAGCGTATGAAGGGTCATGGGAAGGGGAAGCACCCACCGGGGGAGCGTAAAAACTCGTAATGGATGGAAAAGGTGTGCCCAGGATGCATCACCTGCTGTAGAGGTCGCGTCAAGGTCAGAAACAAAGTGGAGTGTGTAATGACCGCCGTCCTATTCCAGCCTCATGCAAGGAAATAGACACAGAAACAGGCTGCGAGATTTGATTATCTACCTTTGTTGAGGGACGGGGAGCGGAAATGAGGATGGAAGGGCTCGCCGGAGATATCGTAGCTGCAATCGAAACTGCTGGGCACGAAGCAGTTTAATCGCTTTAAAGGGAGCGGCAGCTCAGAAACTTCCTGTTCAAGATTAGGGTTTTTTTGTTTTCCCATGCTGCTATGGAAATGAAGACTGTCTGTCTAAGCTTGGTGATATTGCCCAAAGGGCCACGTAGCATTATCAACTTGGAACTCAATTGTCACAAATCAACGAGCTTAGCGATGCAAAAAGGGCTGGGATTACGAAGCAGGATGAAAACTTGTGATAAAGCTAGTAAGTAAAGAGAATGAAAATACATGAGTTTGCCTCAAGGTATACAACGTAAGTATATAGTTCAGTATATGCCGATGTATACAACAGTGACATTGGCCTTACTCCGAGTTAGCCAGAGCTGACAGAGCCTTTCATTCATAATTCAAACCAAAAGTGCTCTTGATAACTGTGTCTAAAGTTTAAACAACAGTCTGGTATAGCCTCTGTACACTTGAAGAAGCCACACAGGCGAAACCGTTCGTGTGACAGACTGAATAAAAGTTCAAAACGGGAACTATGCGGCTCCAGACGTCTTACTGAGGGACGACTGCTTGTGCAAGATGTCGGTAGCTTGAGGAATGAATCCCCTCTACTATATACAACACTCTACCCACTTGGCCATTACTCCGGTGCTCAATTTATTGCTCTATGTTAAAACTGCTTTATTGTTGTATAAGTGTACAAATTATGGGGCAAAATTTCATCAGACAGGCAATAACATCACATTGGTACCAGATGATCTGAGCAATAAATTTGAACACATTGCCAATACATGTAATTGACCTAAATTTTGTACTGTTGGCAGCGCTATACAAATCACAGTAATCAATTTATATGGAGATTTCAAGCTTTCTATAAAATGATGTTCTAGCGCTGTTCTAGGTGGAGCTATCGCAAATTGGTCAATCTCAGAGAAAAATCATAAAAATTGGTCTAATACATACAGAAACAACCAGACCTTAATTTTAAGAAAATTCAAAGAGTCTTTGACATATATTTTCCACATGTCACTGAAATTCCCAAAATAGTATGATTATATCCCTGCATGTTGAACAGGAGACAATTAAGAATCTTGTCTAACAAATTTTGGTTTAGTGGCACCACCTGGCAGAACTACAAGGAATTACATTTTCAGGTTTTGCAATTTAATAGCTATCCACATATTACTTTGAAACATACAACATGCCTTTTCACAATCATCTTTACTTTTTGCAGAAAATATTAATAAATATACATGTAGCTCCCAGTAAAATGCTGACATTAACTAGTCAAGGACATGATGATTACTGATATTAGACACATGGAATCAAATTTCCAATGCTGGTCTTTCATATCTAAACCAATAAGTCCTGACCTGTTTTTTTTTCTGTTGAAGTCGTAAAACAAAGCCATCAGACTTAATAATAATAACCCAATGGTATTAACCTTATCGATGAGGAAAATATGTTGTGGTTACTTGAACCTATCTTTAAGAGATGCTGAATCTAAAATTTCTTTCATGGTACAAAATATTTATTGTTATCTATAGCCCCTTTTTGTACATTTCCTTTCCCCAGTGAGCAATACAGTGGTGCAGCTCACAGTACTCTATATCCCATCGGAGTGACTAACCCATCCTCGGACCGTATGAGTTACGATCGCGTCATCTTTTACTTCAGCGAATCTGCAGTTCTGCACGCACCCTCGTAGGTCATCATATTGAATTCCTATTTCTCCGCCACCCTTAAGCTGTGCTGTTCCTTTTTATCCAGTCCTCCATCCCTTTACATCTTCTAAGTGGCAAATCACGGTTTCAATAACATGACAGGAGGGAGCGTTTTATGGCCGTCTGTTCTTCCAGCTACCTTTTTTTACTCCCGTCCTGGAAGCCACACCGGCCCTTAAATTTTACTGCCCATAACCTCCTATTCAGCAAAATGGCCGCAGATGTCAAAAGGTCTTCAATTATAAAAAAACCTCAACATAAGTTTCTTCTTCTGTTCTTCTAGCTACCTTTTTATTCCTACCCGGGGAAGTCACGCTAGTTGTGAAATTTTACTACCCATAACCTCATATTCAGCAAAATGGCCACAGATGTCAAAGGTCTTCAGTGAAAGAAAACTTCACATAATTTTCTTCTTCTGTTCTTGTAGCTTCCGTTTTTACTCCAATCCTGGGATGTCATTCCAGCCTTTGAATTTTACTACTCATAACCTCCTATTCAGCAAAATGGCCACAGATGTCAAAGGTCTAATTGCTGACAAAAAACTCAACATAATTTTCTTCTTCTGTTCTTCTAGAAATCTTTTTATTCCTATGCTGGGAAGTCATACTAGCCCTTGAATTTTATTATCCAGAACCTCCTATTCAGCAAAAGGGCCACAGATGTTAAGGCCTTCAATGGCACATCAAAGAAAAACTTAAGAGTATTGTACAGCCCTTTAAACAATTCATCTGTGATAATACAGCCTAAATTTACAGGATTTTTAGTACATGATGGCCTATGGTTATTTCTTGCATTCAAATGAATTCTAGCTGGTTTTAAAACTTTAATCAGGTATGATAATTTTGATATGTATGATACTTTTATGTGTGCCTTTTGGAAAAAGAAGTATTTTCTAACATTGAGTTGTTTTTTTTTTTCAAAATTCAGAAAAAAATGAAGCGGGCAGATCTGAGAACCAATTGATTAATTTGGCATTGGTCTAATAGCAGAGCAACAGGTATGGAAACATGCTTAAGTTTGCATGTATCACTTTTATCACTTACACTAGACAGACAAGTAAAGTATGGCCCAAATACGGGACAAGGACATCTTAGTCAATGACAGAATAGACCTTGTAAAGTCACATGCCCTACAATATCATCCAGACATATTACAGTCAATAAAACAGCTGTGAATGTTGCCCAATCAATCACTTGAATTAGAACAATTTCCGACTGAGTCAAATTAAAACCAACAACAAGAGTCAAATTTATGCTTTGATGACCATGGAATCATAATGAAGAAGTCCCGATGTCCACTTAAGCTCTTACTAAGAAGGTTAGTCGGGATTAAACATCTTTGCTCTTACAATGCAAGTATTAAAAGAAACTATCACATTTACAAGGTCATCTAATGGCTGAAACGAGATATAGCATCCTGTTCTGTTTGTTGTCAAATTAAAACTGTGGAAACAGTGTGCAGTGAACCCTAGGAATTTAAAAAAAAATCTGAGGCATTGTAGGACGTAAGGTAAGAGAATTGATATACTGTTGAAAGTATGGTTCCTAGGTATGACAATGGGCTATTCTACAAGAAAAGCTTGGGTCATCTGAGGTCATTTAAAATCAATGATGCAAATGTTAATTTATCCAAGTGTGTATGTAATTGCAAATGCATGATCGGATATTGATAACACCCACCTTTCTTCCTAACTTTTGCATATTTTTTCTAGAAAATTGTATCCCTTCATGATCAGCAAGCTAGGCTTTTTTTAGTCAAGAATTCAGGACTTACCCTACTAGTTAAGGCAAAAACACTGACAGAACTCAAAGAGCTCAACAGTTGTCACAGGAAAATACATTTTTGTAGTAACATACAAACTATTGCCTGGTTGAATGTCAAATTCTACACACACACAATAATAATTGAAACCAATACTCACATGCAGCAAAAACCCCCTCCCAGTGTATCTACATAAAATGGTGGATGTTTATCTTTGAAATTACATGTTACCTTGGACAAGTACTTGCCTATTAGACACAGTCCCAAGGGGCCAATCTTGCTGCATCTTTTACACAGGCCTATTCCCGTTTCAAATTTTTATTTCTCGGTCAACTATTTTCAGCAATTTTTGCAACTGAACATCTTATACTCTTTGTTTCAATTTTTCTGTACAAAGTAGCATGTTTCAGGGTTAGATTTTTTTCTCTTGTAATGAAAGTTGAATTTAACACCCCTATATGAGCCCACACATGGTTTGATCCTACCTGGTTGTGTTCAAGGACAAAAAGGTAGGACTATAAGGACAGGTGACATTGATGAATCACCAACCATTGCAGCAGCAAAGGTAAACAATGTCCTGCCACAGCTGGTATAGTCACCCATTCACAAAAACCTACAATGTCTCAATGGACTTTTACAAGCTGTCCTTTGGGTAAAAATAAACAAAATGTACACAATATGGTCGAGTGCTTCAAATGACCTGAGTTCAGTCAGTGTGAAATTGTCCTTGTCCCTCCCCCTTTCATGTTGGGACAGTCTTTACACTATAAGCATGGAGCTTCAATATTTGAAAGTCCTTGCTAAAAGTGATGATTCTTATCGCTTCATCTAAAATTATATGCCCAGGCAAACTTTGTCAATTACTTGGTAAATAGTGATAAACAAAATGTCTTGGTATATAAGGAAGAGGTCTGTATACTGTAAACAATTATATCAATGATCTAAAAACCTTGAATAACTGAGTACACGGTGACATATGATTATGAACACTTCAAATACTGTCTAGACAGAAAGGAAGAAAAACTGCCACAATCTGTCAGGCAATAATAATAGGGAGTTTCCACAAATGTAACATAGAATATAACAGTTTGGGAGTCATTTACTAATACCAGTGTTATGGATACAGCAGTATTCAATTGACATTAGTGGCAATGAATAATTCATCCATGCAGGCTTCTTGGTGCCAGAAATTTTCATTGAAGATCCTCCATTCAAGTGCACTTTGAAGATTGCAAGACTCTTATAATTACACAGCATAACTACTTCCAACTGTACAGAGTCTCTTGCATTTTACAGGGTGCATTCACTTGAATGGTAGTAAGTTCTGATATCCTTGTTGGGTTCAAGTTGGGGAAAGAAATATTTCAGCCAAAGACAGTTGTAGCTTAGACAGGCACATTTATTGTAGGTGCATTCTGTATGAAGGACATAACATTGCTTTTACAAGGTTTCTG